CCCAGAATAGCGTTGCCTCTGGAATTTCTTCTGGCTCATCCTGTTAGAAATCCGATTCACTCTTATTCATGTCATCAAACTTTTAATGAGGCTTTTGTTTACTAAGCTAAAACTCACCTAAAATACATATGTCATAACTTCGATTCTAGCGTGGTTTCGAGATAAAAATCCATGGAAATATGTCTTTATATCACTAAAATCTCACGAAATCGCTTGTAGAAAACTGCACTGCTTTCAAATCATTTATTGGTCCGAACGCTAAAACAGCCAACCATGTATTATTTGGGTATTGTGTGTTGAGATAAAGACATTATTGTCATACTGAACTATAGAAAAGCTAACAAAAAAAAATTTGATTTTCTTATATAGGATTAGAAATAGGCAGATTATTTACAATCCATTTTCTGGTTTGTTTATATTTTGGTTGTAGGCCCTTTTAAAATGTTACGCGAGATAGGAATTAAATTATAGGCCGAGAAAAAGGCAGAGATTATTTACAATCCACTTTCTAGTTGTTTACATTTTAGTTGTAGGCCCTTTTCAAATGTGAACTGCTCAGGGTCTTAATCGAAACTGCCGTAAAAACCTGACCTTTTCTTGAATCCATCTATGTTTTGGAACAGTCTGGAAATTCTTGTGGAAGCACATCGAATTTGCTCTTCAATTGGCGTCTTGCAGTGAAACTTTTCCAAGATTTCACCACCTACATTTCGAAGTGAGAACTACTAGAAGGAGGATAGTTTCCAAATTCTCCAAGTAAAACAGACGATTTTTGGGGCAAATCGGTACATAAAGAAAAACTAATAATTTCCGGTGGGAACTTTTGCTTGAATCGTGTAAGAAAACGTGTTTCCAAACTAACTGTTATTATTTCGGTATGGATCGGAGATGTTTTCATGGAAAATTATGCATAACAAGTTTGCACCCACAGGTAGAGATTACCTCCTGCGCAGCTACATTTTTCGGAAAATGGTGAATATGTGCGATTTCCACTAGGATGAAAGTGGAAATTAAGTGAAATTACTTAGGAAAGATTGTATCATGCTGGCGATAATGGAGAAATGGTTGCATAGCACGCCAATATTGAATAAATGTTCATTTGGCATTTTTTAGGTAAACATATTGATACTCACAATTTTCGACGGAAAACGCAACGGAACTTGATTTACTCAACACGCTGGTGCTCGATGGTTTATAATGTGATAACAAGATGACAAATCATAGATGATCTTTATTTTGAGTAATTGAGCAATTTACTTCTGTTTACATCATATGTACGATGCAGCATTGATGGAGCTGTGAAATGAAATGAATATATCTTATGAAAGTTCATCTGGAAAAGTCAAAGATGCACATTAGGGTGTTTCATTTTGAAAAAAGTGATGAATTTTTGATAGGCCACCCTCCAGTTCGATTCATAGCCCCAAAATATGAACCTGTGCAAAAAATGGTAAAGATTGATGAAGGTTTAGAGGTCGCGCCAATGATTTGGATTTTGTATGGAGATTTTGGTGAATTAGTATGGGAAATTATTGATTTTCGTTTACATTGCTCTAACTTTGGTTGTAGTTGTCCAAACGTTGAAAAAAAAAATTTGTGGTTGTCATGACAATGATCAACAAGCCTGTTGTTGTTGCGATGAAATTGGCGTTGTTTCCTTGTACATATTCATCTGTCAATTTACCCTATTTTGCCATTTTTTCACATTTTTATAATTCTTGATACGCTGCAAAACTGAGCGTAGCAACTGTAGGCTTTTTGTTTATTGCCATAGCAATAACATACTAAATTTTTTCGACATTTGGACAAGTAGAAGCAAAGTTATAGCGATATAAGCGATTTTTTAAATTCTTCCATAGTAATTCCCATACAAATTTCAAATCATTGGCGCGACCTCTAAACCTTCATCAATCTTTACCAATTTTTGCACAGGTTCATATTTTGGGGCTATGAATCGAACTGGAGGGTGGCCCATCAGAAATTCATCACTTTTTTCAGAATGAAGCACCCTAATGCACATCAGTCTGATCGTGAAAACATTTTTTTTCTTCTATTCGAATGTTATATTGGAAGGATTTTACGCAGGCTTGATGAAAATTATGATTTAATGCTAATTTTCACGAATTTTATATGCAGTCTGTCAACATTATCATCATCATGCAGTGGCGACATCTGCGTCGAGCTTTTACGGCAATCTCCCAATACTCTTGCATTGAATTGTAATCAGCTCTTGGAAGTTAAAGATGTTTTGAAGATGCAGAGCTACATTTCCAATTTCTTGCTGCATTTGATGCCAAACTATTTCTTGATAGAAATGTTTATAAGTATCAATAACTTTTCAAAAAACCTAGATTATGGTAAAAACTTACTGTTCGCTTTCCGGCTTGCTTGAAGCTGCAACCTGAGTGACTCCGATGATGAGGAAACATTATTCTGCATCTCGATGTTTGATTCGGTATTTAAGGCAGTTAACAACAGTGCAATATAAATATTCAAGTATAAGTATATAAGTATATTTAAGTATTCAAGGCAGTTAACAACAGTGCAATGTAAGTCTTCTGCTGCTATTTATCACTTTCAAAACAAATGATGATAAATATCTAGTTGAAGATTTCAAAAAGTCTTAAACGAACCTTAAACTCGAATTATTGTCAAGAAATAAATAAGACCTTTTGCAAAAATCCACTAGAAATGAAAGAAAGAGAGCAAGAGAATTTCTCAGAGTAACTATTTTTTAAATACCTTGGGAATCTCCTCCCAGACACCTGAGAAGATAACTCAGGGTGTGGGGATGGGAGAAGTAGCGCTCCCGACCTTCTAAACCTTACCCTGTGCTCTTGGCCCTTGACCTACGCGCATATGAGTATTAAGCGCAAACCCAGAACTTGATAACTTAAAAAAATATAACTCAGATACGAAAAAGTTAATAAATACATCGCTGATAAATACAGCTGATTTTTAAATAGCGTGAACGAAATATCGAACCTTCCTCTTGATGGAGCCCATCAGCGCCCGCACAGGGGAAATGGACACGGAATCAGCACATTTCTTCCATTTTGCCCGCATTTGCTGGATGTCCTTGACTGCCCCGCCGCTTCGTCGAAGTCGCTGCTTTGAAATTGCCCAGTATGTTTCGATTGGTCGAAATTCCGGGCAATTCGAAGGATTCATTAGTTTGGAGACAAAATCGATCTTGTTGACATACCACTCCAGAACCACCTTGAAGTAGTGGCAGTTGGCCAAATCGGGCCCAAAGATGACTTTGTCCCCATGCTTGTGGATCAACGGCAATACACGCTTTTTCAGGCATTCTTCTATGTAAACTTGGGATGTCGTCGTCTAGGATGTGACGAATGGTTCCGTTTTCAGGTCACAACTGCAAATCGCTTGCCAAATCATGGCCTTCTTCGCGAACTTGTCATCCGTCAAAGTGCAGCCCTTGTGTTTCGTCAAAACAAGAGCCTTGCACGCTTTTTGGCCACGGAATTCTGCTTCATGTGCCGGTTCGGAAGTTTACTGGCTTTGTACGACTTGTATACTTTTAGAGATGAACTAGCCTAAGGCTAAAAATCTCTTTAATAAAGCTTAAAAAAAACTTGTATCCTTCCCTGGCAATGATATTCCGCTTCGTTTGAAAGTTTTTTTTCCTTGATTTGTTTTCCATCGATCTTGTTTACCGTGATGGGCACCAATGCTACCGACGCCAGGGAGGCAGCTCCCACACCTGGACCCTACCTATCGACCCATCAACTCATGAACCGGTGACAAACGGCTTTACTCCCCTTCCGAAGGAAGGCGTGATCATAGATGTTATGCCTCAGAACATCTCGGCGGCGCCGACTGGGATTGAACCCAGGCCTGCTGGAGAGAGAGGCAATTACGCTTACCACTAAATCACCTGTGCCACTACCGTTTGAAAGTTGGCGTTAAACCTTCTGGCCACTTTTCGGATCGACAGACCGGGGTTGGTTTAACGCACCTCAACACCTTGCTGCGCAGCTGACGATCCCTAGTTCTAGTTTTTTCGTAGGTCCACTGATTCCTTTCCACACTCAGGGTTTCCTTGTAGGTTTTGAGCACTCGACAAACTGTTGTTTCGGCATCTTCAGCACTTTAGCCAGGTTTGAACCGAACCACTCCGGATTTTCAAGGTGTTTGTGCACAATACTTTTTCTTCTTTCGAGTTCCATATGACGTTATTTCTAAACGCGATCGACTACTTTGATCAAACTAGCACTCTATAGAAGTGTAAACAAACCACTGACAAAGATTTTTGACTGTGACTCATTGCAGCCCCGACGAATTCGATGATCCTTATTTTCTCTGTTTTACCACGCTAATGTTTTTCGAATGTAACCAACAGCTGCTCCAGCTGATCCAGATAGCTGTTTTTACATCAAATATTTTCTTAGTTGCGAATGCAAAACAAATATCAATTTCCACAAAAAAATACACTCGGTTTGATCTCCTACCTACTGTAACGCACAGATTCCGTGAATTTTCCTACTATAAGTTACATGATCTGCAAATTAAATACTGCAGGTACGGGAGCAAACCTACTATTCAATATTATCTCATGGGTGAACATTGGTTAACTGAGGGCATTCAATGTTTTACGATCAGATTCAGAAACAAAAATCGACATAGGAAATCAGAATGCTCTATGGTTTGGCTATAGCATTTTTCAGGTTTGTCAATTTTCATTAAGATGATGCGCGAAATCGATACATAATGATTAGTTCTTCGATCCACAACAAATGTGATGGCGTCTTTTGGGGCTTTTCCTAAAGTAGCGTCCACCGTCGCGCGAGGTCACTCTGAGCTTGTAGTGCATTGCAAGAGCTGCAGCATTGCCAATATATGAACGCTACCGACTTGAACACACAAAGGAACTGAAGAGTAACGATGAGTTGGATGTTTTTTCAAACCATCAAAAAGTGGTCTATTCATTGGTGTAGTATAAATGTTTTGAAATGTTGCCTACCTCCATCAGTTTGGATGTGGAATCTGTGTGGTGCTGTAATAGATATTAGAAGCCAATCGCGGGTACAATGAAGGTAAGATGCTCGTTTTCTCTGGTTGTAACCATTTCTTATGTAGTATCCCTGTGCTTCCCTTTAGTTGATACCGCTCGTTGTGTTGTTGATCGTTGAAGTCTCCTGTAGGCCATACATGTCGTCAAACGATCATCACTATTTAAAATCTCTAGAGAAAAACGTTGAAGATCACGACTACGATTGGGGAGTGCCGGAAACGCCGCCACAGCTAGACCAAATAGACGTGCGACTGAGTCTGGCCTCAACTAATGAACCACCAAAGACGAATGAGCACGCATCGAACAGCCAAAAATCCGTGCGATTTCATGGTGCTGGAAGGTGATCTACTATAATTGAGTGTACATTTTAATTGTTAGTTTGTTTAAGCGACCTAAATAGGAAATCGATAGTATTATTGACAACTAATGAGTAGATCATTCTTGGCCGATGACTCACGTGCCTTCGACCGCCTTCGTACTTGACGTCGTCACGTGTTTGTGTGTGAGTTTGCGTGTGTCCTGACCTTAAACTCGGTCGGTTCCGCCTTAAAAGTAGGTCCGGTCGTCGTTGGTTTGGTTGTTGATCTGCCTATATAGTTTGCCTTGCTGGATTGATTTGTCTAGACATGGGACTTGTAACAACATTCGTTTGGAACGGATTTAACGATCCTGCAGAAAAAAGTGACACATAAAATAGCTAAAACAACAAGTGGCTCCGTATGCAAATTTCCTCTTGCAGACAAATGGTGCTGTTCGAATGCATGTCGGCGCCCGTTTCTTAGCTGTTTTCGCCACTGGAAGCTGGTAAAAGGTAGGAAGGAAGGAAAGTGAAGTAAAAAATATAGATATACCACCGACTGAAGACCGGTTGATAAACGACTGAAACTGATCGTTTGCAACGTGATTCGCCATTCCGGTTGGTAATGATGATGTTTGCGATTTTCGGTGCTGACCTTAAACTATTATAGGGTCGATGGTCCAGTTATTACTATACGTTCCTATTATTGTGTGTATTGAATTTATATCTGTAATTTTAACCAGCTTGATTTCGTTTGCAAACCTGGTTAAAATGTTTATATGTAATTATCTTGAAGATAACTCGTCCAGCTCAAACCTTTGCAGCCGTAAGAGGTGAAAATCCCTTATGCCATAGTTAAAACGATTCTATAAAATTCACCCGAATTCCATTCGCTCGAATAAACCATTTACCCGAATAGACCAATGAACCATTTCACAATAATCTAATGCGGATCTACCCCATTTGGCATAATGCTGATTGGCTTAATTACTATTTGGCTTAACTGCCGTTAGGCATAATCGGGAAAATGTCGAAACTTTTTGCCGTTATGGATTGTAACTGGATTAAATTTTGAAATTTTTGGGCAATCTGATACTTTTGAGCAAACTGACAGCGGTAAATCTGATGGAGGTATGATAGATCAAAACAGCTTACTTTTTCACAGTGACATCGCAGTGCTGAATGCTAGAAAGAGTAGTCTGTTAATATCATCCTCTTTTCATCGCATTGATGTGTGTTATGGCGAAATTCTTGATTGTTGTTCCCGTGGAAAATACCCTTTAAATCATTATTTTTCATTCTTTTGATCATCAGCTGGTTTTTCCGTATTTATGCAAAACGGCCATTCCCATGTAACATCGACATTATGCTGAATGGGGGAGTCGAAATAGCGTCATTTCAGAAAAAATGTATAAAATTTGGTTCTTTAGGGGTATTTTGGGGTATTCGCATATTTGTAATCTGCTTTTTTTTATATTATAGTCACTTTATCCACAAACGAAGTGACAGATGGAACGGCTCAAAAACTTTGGTGACGAAACTGCTATTGCAATTTTTCAGTGTACCACATGGCAACACTACTACTGGATTGTACTAGCATTTTCACCAAATGTACTAAAATGTTTTGGTTCTATCCAAGGGCGTAGCCAGGTTTCGAGCTAGGGAGGGGCGAAAAAAAATTCTTTGGAAAATTTGGCCGAATGCCATATCACCGAACGCCATTTCACCGAAAGCCTTTGTGTTGCTGAGTTTAAGGGGAGGCAGTTGCCCCCACCCCCTCTGGCTACGCCTATGGTTTTATCTCTTTCACTTTACACTGAAAAACATTTTCACTTAGTTCCTATTAGGAACGCACATAGTATTTTTCCAAAAACAAAAACAATGATTTTTACCTGAATATCACATGGCATTAGAAATTCTATATGAGAAATCACATAGATTTCATTGGACACATAACGTTCATGTGATTTAGTGGTGCAATTTCCAATTATGGGATCACATGAAAGTTATGTAAAATTCACATGGATATTTTCCACTGGTTATGTGATTTATTTTATGAGTGTACTCAAAACTGAAATGCATAAAAAATGACAAAATGATACACTATTTGCACACTGTCAAAGATCATTGCACACAAAATCAACTTTGTTCAAATCAAAACAAAAATACTAGCCCATCTGGTGGCTGATGGTATAAGCTTGCCCCTAGTGTCCCTCGGTGGTTCTTGTTATATGGGGGGAGCTGTCAATTTGTGAGTTATGTGTCAATAAATGAAGTGATTATTTTGCTTTAATACTCGATTTAAAATTCGAGATGAAAGCTTATGGGATCGAACAAATATTATTGTGCTCAGCAAACAAAACTCTTTCAGACGATGTGTGATAACCACAGTGCTGGAAAGTTTATTTTGAAAAAATGTTCTTCATAGAATCATTTTGGGAAAGAAAATAAAAGCTCTCGAACGAGATTAGGTGTTATGCTTTATGTATGAAGATATTTAGGTTGAATGTAGGAGTAACCCATTCGTTATTATTGGTGGAAGTATGCATTTAGGATGCATTTAATACACATTTTTATGGTTTTTACTTTCTGTAACTCTTGTTTCACGTTACTCAAAACAGAAATTCAAATTTCAACGGCTGCTTAGGTGTTACCAATACAAAAGTTCACGAGTCATAGTTCACGATCTTTTGCATCACAGATTGCGCATTGACCAATGCACGGAATGAAGTGCCGTGTTTACTAAAAATAATCACATGACGTAATGCTCACGTAACTTTAGAAAAGAACCTATACACTATTATAAACAACTTGTTCAGCCCTTCTCACGCGAACCGAAGAACGCCCCCGCAAACCAAGAGCACTATCGGGAAAGATAGAGTTTACCCTACCCGATGGTGTTGTTGGTTTGCGTGGGCGTACTTTGGTTCGTGCGAAAAAAGCTTAACAAGATGTTTATAAATGTTGATAGGTCATTTTCTAAAGTTACGCAAGCATTACGTCATGTGTTCATTTTTAGTAAGCACGGCACCGCTCAAACATCAATTTTTATACGTGAGTTCATTCTGTGTAATTGGCAATAGACAAGTGCACGGGTGAACTTTTGTTTATCTACTGTAAAAAAAATTGACACAACAGCGGGACCCTGTTTACTAAAAATGAACACATGAATAATACTCGCGTAGAATTTGAAACGGGTCTATCAACTTTTGTACACAAAACCTGTTAAACCCTTTTCGCGCAAAACAAATACGCCCACGCAAACTAACAAATTCTCCCCTTCCCGATAGTACTCTTGGTTTGTGTGGGCGTATTTCGGTTATCGTGAAAAGGACCTAGCAAGTTGTTTACGAAAGTTGATAGGGCCTGTACAAATGTTATGCGAGCATTATTCATGTGTTCATTTTTAGTGGGCCCAGTTGTTGTGTTATTTTTTTTTCAGTTGATGAACTAAAGTTTACCCGTGCACTAGTATATACGATGCTGCACGTTGCCGTCACGAATGAACACGATGAACCCGCATTCTTCAGTTTAACATCCAGCGGTGATTTGTTTATCTTTGCCTGTTAGTCTATTCAAATGGTTTGGAGTTTTTAAATGAAATGGATCAAAGATATGTTTTCCAACTGTTTTCTTTTTAAAAATATTCTTCTCTAAAAAAAACATTTAATAAGAAATTTCATCCAAACCACAAACCACTGACAGATGTCAAAAAAGTGAGGTTAACCCGACGGTTTAGCTCTCTATAGACGAATGAACGGATGGCTTTGAATTCACTTACTCGAGAAAAAGTGACACAAGTAGCAGGCAATGGACGAGTGCACCGATGAATTTGAGTTCATGAACTGAAAAAAATTGAGTGGAGAGTGGGGCTATGTTTACTAAAAATGAACTCCAGTCGAATTTCAATCCTTTCATGAACTCAAATCCATCTGTGCAGTCATCTATAGGGAGCTGCATCGTCAGGTTAACCTCACTTTTTTTACATCTGGCAGAGGTTTATTTACAGGGACTTAGAATTTAAATTTAATAATGAGCTGTGCAAAATTAGCTGGAATCGGAAAAAAGGAGTACTGAACAGTTTTCTTAGAATATATTCGAAAACTAATGAGCAGGATTGTTATTGGTAAGCTCTCCGCTTATGCGAAAGCGCTACGTCTAAATTTGCGGTGATTATTACTGATTGCATCTGAAACTGGACTGCTCCAAAAATGCAAAAGGTGTGATTAATGTGCACGTTTCTATCAAATCTGTATGGTTTCTTCCGAGCACTTATTGCTTGCATCATAAGGAATAAGTGCACCGAATACACTAACGCGATTAGACGGAAACTTGTACTTTAATAACCTTTTTTAAAAAGTTAAAACGTACTTTTAAGTTCAGTTTGGTGTGAAATGCGCAATAACTGTTTCTGAATAACTACCTATAACTTGCACGCCAATTTCAGTTTGAAATACGGATGTATTCAGTGTCGATTATTCATCATTTGATACATGGTCGGATTTTAGCTTCCTCCGATAACGAAATATCATTTCTGTTTTCTTCTGATACGTGGGGTTCGCTGTTCGTAATCGTATGTGTATCCTGATCAGTGCTGATAAAAATCATTTCTTCTACACTCAAATAAGCTGAAAATGAAGGCAAACCAACTACCTGCATGAATTTGAATTTCGGCATGAAAACATGCTCTTGATCAAGGCAACCGCTGAGTTTCGAAGTCAACATTTGTTTTTGTTCATTCAAAGATGCGTATTCATTATCGCCTGTGCTGTTGTCATATCAATATTCATAATCATCTTGAAGGGGATGATTTTGAGTTTCAAATGCGAAATGATTATTTTCAGAGTTGGTTGGAAATGCTAACATGAAGCTTTAGTGTGATGATTTATTAGCTAGAGAATGATCTTTAGAAGAGGGTGGATAGTTCCGTTAGAGTACGGCAGTATGAAAATTGAATAGAAGTTGAAAATGATCGAAGGGCCATTAATGCGACAGTTTTTCAAGATAGACGCACATTTCTGAAAATCGTTAACTTCGCTTATGAAGTAACATAAAAACACTTTGAATGATTATTTTCGTTTTACACAAATATACCGTTGTGGAACGTGTTATGTTGCTTTTTCAGTCAGATCGAA